TTTCGATGCTTTATGATAATTCACAAAGACGCGAAGGTGGTCGGCTGCAATCCTACCAACATTTTACAACCTAAATTTGTCCAGTTAATGAGACATCTCATGATTTGGCTTGGGATCCTAGGCTTTTCATACATTCTGTCAAGAAGTGAGGTGATTGATGACAAATGAAACTAACGAATCACATCCACTCGCCGCTTCAAACGAAATGAAAAGTAATCCAACATCATTTTGTTAAGGGATTCTTTAAAAGAACCACATTTTCTACGAATCAGCCGAATTAAGGATGCCAGGGTCCGTCAAAAGAGACTAAATCCTTTGGAGCGGTCGACAACTCGTCCTGGCAGCGCTCCACCAAAACGATCGAGACCGCGAATTGGCGCAAAGTTCAAAGCAGAGAGAAACAAGAGGCTTTCTTCTATTTTATGCATTCCCTAAAATCAGCAGCATGGCCGAGCAAGGGTGAAACAAGTTCGTGGTTTAACAATCACACGAAGCCTAATCAGAGTGTGGATATGAAAACCAGTCATGTTTGGCTGGAAAGTGTTGGTTCGACATCGTTTTCACAACTTGCTCGGAGCGACAGGGAAACTTTTCGCAACGTTTCTAGTCCTGCATCTCTCTGTCCTCGGGCGGGACCGAAGCATCCTCGCAAAAACACTACAAAACGGATTAGGGTCCTGATGGATGTCTTGTGGTTTGCATTGACGTGAAAGTGCATCGGCCTCACTTTTAAGTCAGACCAAAGCACATTTGTTTAGCGGGATTGTCGATGACACGCAAAGAGGCTAATTATTTTCTCTGTGAGTAGGGTTTGTATGATGATGTGGTGATCTTGATTTATATGAATTTGCGTCAGTTGGTATCATCAGAATACGACAAAGCATTTCTGTTGCTCCACAGCTGTCGTTTTCAGGTGAGACAAGATAACAAAACCCTTCAGGATGATGCACTTTTTATACGAAACCAAAGCGCCTCAACAAATTGTGAAACCTATTCACAGAAATAATAAGCAGCAATCACATCTCATCGACAATCCCGCTAAACGTGTGTGCTTTTACTTATGAAGAAAAAGTGGGTTTCGGATAACGACTTGGTGACATATTGGCACATGACTTTCGAGTTCTAGGCAAAAGTTGTTTGGTAGGGATTCGTGATGTGGTCTCACCGGAACTCGAAGGAGGGTTGCTGCGTAGAGAAGGCTGTTGAATTGAATGAACAAGTCCTCGGCTCACCGTCCTGCGACTCCGATGAAACTGTGCCGAGCTAACGTCTGTACCATCGCGACAGACATCATCACAGCAAAATTGCATACTTTACGAAATTACGAGGCATTACATAATTTGGTTGTCACCTTCAACCTTTCCGAACCGGAAGTGCGTTCGGTGGCTGCTGTTTCTTTACACAAATAAACTATATTTCGTATGTAAATAGATTTTCCAGAATATCAGTAAATCAGTAAGATGAGATGTATTCAGCCTATTTAGTTTAAGGTGATGAAGGACTGGTAGTAGAATTTTCCCAAAAGCATATGAGTAGGGCTGACATTTCCATTGAATTTCAGAAAGCCTTGTTTTCCCAAAAATTGCTCTCATCCAGGATGGACAGTCCAAGGCTTTGTGAAATTGAATGGAAACTCATATGATTTTGTGAAAATTCTACTGCCAGTCCTTCATCACCTTAAACGAAATAGGCCTATATCTAACCTAATTCTTCCCAATAATCTATACATTCTACTCATTAAATAAATAAGTAGCATCATTAAGCTAACGCAAACAGATCTCATCGACAATTCCTCTAAACTAATGGGATGATTCAACTTCACCTGCATTGAGTGTAAACTCAGACCGCATTTTATGTATCAGATTAAACCACCTTGGCCGATTAAAGTTCTTGTAATGGATGCTTCTGGCCGGTAAACTTGAACAACCCAAAGGCCTCGTACCCTCAGTGTTGGCTCACCGCCTTGGCAACCAAGAAAGACAAGCCCATTTAGTCATTACAGGGCGCCAAATTGGAGCATAGCGAAAAGACAACGTTGTGCCTACCGCCTGATTGCCAAGGAGACTGGGACTAGTGGGAAACTGGGAGCTGGTGCGGCTAAGGCGACCCTTTGAAAACCTCCAAACTTGACGGTGCTGGAGAGGAACTCGAAGTGTCACGTTCGTTTCGGATGCTGCCAACGCTTGTGCTGGTCGGACTCATACCGCCGAGCGTTGAACCCAAAGGAACCTTGTCCTATCGCCATGGCCGTTAGGGCGTCGAACGATTGCGGAAAGGAAAATCTTGCCAACGGATGATAGAGTTTGTGTCCCTCTCTTTTCACGTGGAAAAGGGCCCTTGAACCGGTATCCCAGTGCTGGGCGCAGGTGACTGGAATAGAACGCTTTTCGAAATTCAATCTTTCTTGCCACTCGGTCAAAATGACCACAAAAAGCTCCACCTCTCCTTTTTCTCCGAGGCTTATCAAGTCTAGGCTGGACGATTCGGTGGGTTCTGCCTACTCTGCCTACTTAAGGAGATCCTGGTTGCTAAAAAAAGACATTTCTACCAGAGTTTTCGGGGACAGAACAGAACACTCTCTGGATTCACTTGGCGTTACCGAAACCCATCAAGACAATTGACACCAAATAGAACCCAAATATTTTCAACCTAAACACATTGCAATTGGATGTATGCATATCAAGATATGTGTATGAATATGGATATATACATATGCATACAGATCTACATAAATATAAATATATTTATATGCATTAATGCAAGCATCTGTATACAAATGTATTCAAATGCTATGTGCATAGGCTAAATATTCCTAATTCGTTTGTCTATTATCTTCAAGACGTCTGGTAAACTCGAAACTGGCGATTAATAGTCCTTATATATATATATATATATGAAATATATACATGAATATGTATGTATTTGACATATATTTATAGATTTATGTGTGCGTGTGATTATGTTAAAAATATTCGTAATCCATTCATTGTTTATTTTGGCCACGAGTTTCGGTATACTCGAAGGTAACAAGTGAACGGCTCTGTTTGGTAGACTGAATACAAATAGAAATAGTTTTATATTCATAGGCGCGAATACTTTATGTGGTGTGAGGAGGATGTGGCGCGTAAATTAGCATCGGCTCAAGCAGATGATGTGGCAGAAGAGGTCTCTGCTTGCAGTAGACATGATGTTAAAGAGGTCGTGTGAACGGTACCAATTTCACATGAGCAGTATTTACAAAATATAATTTTCGTTCTGTAAGCCTGTTTTTTGGACTGCCAACCTATCAGACAGACGAGGTGTATTCACCTCTTTTCCGTTGAGGTGGTAGAGGAGATTGGTAGTGCAATTTCCCCACAATCATGTGATTAGATCTTACGGCTACATTCGATTTCATAGAGCCTCGCCTGTCACAAAGCTCTGCCAATCCGGGTTCGGTCGGACGGCAGTTTCGACCTCTCCCCAATTCGTCTCATCAGCAGCACTGGCGGAACTCGAGCCCAGATTGCGCTAGCGCTGCGTACAATCGCAGCAAACACAGCTAACTTTCATCGAGAATCCCACCACACAATGTGATATGGCGAAATGCCGGACTTTTGCTATTCACATCTGCACTGCGATGCCTAAACCTGAGCCCGAGTCCCGCCGAGGGTGCGAGCGAGACCAGTCGAGGCGAGGTCACTCCCACCGGGATGTGAATACCTTTTGGAAAGCATGGCAAAGTGTGTGTTATTGGATGAAAACATGAACTCTGGTCATCCGATTGTGGGAAAATTCGACTGCCAGTCCATACTTTTTGCGAAATACACTTTTTCCCATGAAGCCTTGACAATGTCGACGGTTGAAAGTGAATATGCAGAAAGTCTGTTGCACACAACAACCGGTCGTCTCGGCGAGCGTCGTACAACTTGGCAATCTAAAATAGGGCAGCCATGGCGACCGAATAAGGGAGCTAGAAACAGGAAAGTATGACGGCTGAGACAAGGCAACACCGGCAGCTGTGGACATTGGCAAACGGAGAGGGCGAGCAATGGGCCAAATGGATCGTCCCCAACCCAACTATGCTCTGAACGCGTCGAGGAGGGCACTTTGCAGCCGACCTTTTGTAGGGTTTGGGCTCCGTCAGCTCATGGCAACAGGTCGCTGAAGAGAGGCGCAAAGGAACTGAGTCGGCAGGACTGGCTGGTTCATAAACATATTTGCTAGCATAATATTTATCTACTGATCAAAAATTGGGAGTATGGAAAATAGGGTTAAAGGAAGTAAGAAATACAGCTAAACACTGACAGATAAATTAATCAATATTATATATATATATATATATATATATATATATATATATATATATATATATATATATATGTGTGTGTGTGTG